AAAAACCAAGACAATCAGCTTTAATTTTTTTTTTTCCTAACAAAGCAATGCCTTGGTTTATTAAACTCCACCCAACAAAGCCTTTAATGATCAGCTGTCCCAGGCCTCACTCCTATAGCGTCTGCTTTAAAGCTGAGAACTGGAAGGCTTCACTCTGTCACCACTTGGGAGAGTATCTAAACCCAAAGTGAGCAGTCAAGAACCAGAAGGCTTTTCTCTATGCTCACATTCAGATGACAGAATAGTAACACTAAGTTGCTTTGCATGAGTTCTAGCCTGGCTGAGTTTGAAACACAAGTAGAAGGGTTATGTTCATTTGCTTTGCTTCCTTCATCCAATTCGAATAGGCGGTTGCGTAACTTGCCAGGACAAGTTGTAGAATGAGTCAGGACGGGACCAACCCCAGGAAAAATTGTGAGTTAGGCAGTTTGACTTGTGACACACCTCCACACAGTTCCACACACCCCTCCTTCATCTCCTCCCTCGGTATCATTAGCCCTGAGGGTCACAGGCATACCACGAGCCTCCCCCCCAACACACCAAATTCCTCTCTACCCCTTCTCTTCCCTGAAACTGACTAGCCTCTGGCCTCTTTGCTAATTAAACTTTACTGCTCCAGTGTCTCTCTCCCCCAGGGTTTAAAGTGACAACCACCTCTTCTGATAATGCAGTCCACATTAATTCGTGGACAGCGAGCTAGAAGGTAGACTGAATTTTAACCATGACCTTCTAAAGATAACAGTTTAGCTCATTAGCAACTTGCAGTGAGAATTCCCAGCCAAGGAATCTGGATGAGGAAAATGTTCTGGAGCAGGTTCTGAACCCTCAGCGCTACCAGGCCAAGCAGGAGGAGAAGGGCCACATTAGCAAAAGTATTGCCAGACTAATCTGAGCAATGAGCTATCCCTGGTCAAGGTGGCAGGTGAGGGACAAGCACAAGAATAAAGCATCACAAAGGACCTTCCCACAAAGGAAGGTTGAATTTGAGGTGCACCATAATTAAATATTTCTATCAAGGATAGCTAGTACTAGGATTTACTAGGCATTTTTCAAAGTTTTTCCCTAGAGCAAAACTAACTTTCAAAAATCATCTCATCGAAAACATTAACCCCTCCCCACAACCACACAGCTTTTGTTGTTTGATGTTTTAAAGCACTACTTTCAAGTTTACAAACAATTCTCAGACAGCGTACCTCCCTCTGAGCCTTGTGGAATGTTTCCCAACCCCCACAGGATTTGTTTCCTTCACTTTACAAGTAGGAAAAGGAGGGTCAAAGAAGGCAGGTGCCTTGCCAAGATCTGCTCCCAGGGCCTCTGAGCACAGAGCTGTCTTCTTTTCAGCGCCCTGCTTCCAGGCTGCCTCTCAGCATTCAGATTATCTGCGCGTGTTGTCTTGTCCCTCGACATCCTAGGGGGATTCTCCTGTTTGAAAGAGAGTTCAGCAGCTCCCCCAAAGAAAATAACCTGTGTATTCAGTGGCCCCGAGGGTAACTGTTCTCCTATCTGATTTCTATTGCCGACCCCACCCCCACCCCAGGTGATCTTCATTCCCTTGGAAGCAGAAGCGCTTGTGCCTCACAAAGTCTTTCTCAAGCACTCGGAGCTGGCGCTCCAATTACCTGCTCATGTCTGGGTGGATTACTTATCTTGCTTCTGCTTCTCACCTGGGCAAGATTCCCATCACAGTTCTCAGTCTGTTTAGCAAGAAGGAACAATATGTTTCTGGGCTTAACAGGGAGAAAAACACTAACATAGCTAGTCCAAGCCAGAACACAAGTGTTTCACACTGAGAAGAGCACAAGAAGCCAGCTGGGAAAACAGTGCTATTTACAGATGTGGATGAACTCAGAATTAATTTCAGCTTTTAAGGTTAAAAAAAAAAAAAGTGGTATTTTAAAGCGACTGCTACTTAAATCATGCATGTTAACATCTGAGAGAGACTGAGAACCCCTCTGTGGGCTTGTGGGAACATATAGATGATTTCCTTAGAAACAGAGTTTAAATGTGTACAAAGTGTCATAAGGGCTTTGTTGTTTATTACTCAGAGACCTTGCTTGGGACACACAAAGCTCAGCATAGTCTGTGTGGAATGGAAAGACCCCGACACTACATTCCAAGTATGTGTAATGATGGAAGTAGAGAACTAACTCCACAAAGCTTCCTCTGACATGTGTGTACACACATGTACATTATATACACACATAGTGATAATAATAATAGAAAAAGGTATGATGAACAAATCCACAAAAGTTCTAGAAGAAAATGTGGGAGGCTGTTTTTGGCAACAGGAAGTAAAATAGCTTGCGAGAGCATAAAAGAAAGTAAACTCATTGTAACTTTCACTATTTAATTTCTTAGTTACATTTCATATGTAATCACACTGGCTCTCAGTTACACCATTGCATGGTCTGACTGTACTCATTCTTACGTTACTCCTCTTTCAGTGGGAATAAGTACAGTGTTTCATTATGGTGCACGTTGATGGCTTTGTTACAAAACATCTATTTTAAAATTATCTTTTCCAAATTAAAGTTTTATTAAGAATTGTGTTATGTATTACAAAAATAATCAGCATCACTTGAGGCTATTATTTTGTCTTTGATCTAGGAACATAGTCAACTATATAATTTATTTTTCTCTTACTGGGCTCTTTCTATATACCTGAAATAACTTCTCTTAAATTTGTCATATCATTTGTAAGACAGTTCTAGGTCCTATTTGCTAATATTTTCTTCTTTCTTCTTCTTCTTCTTCTTCTTCTTCTTCTTCTTCTTCTTCTTCTTCTTCTTCTTTTTTTTTTAAATACAAACATCTAGCATATTCAAACATAGATTAACCTGTAGGCTTCCCTTTTGTGTTTCTGGTTTTACTTTTAAACCAGCCTTTCAGCTCCCCCCAGACAGAGTGGATTACTGCAGAGAGAAGCCTTGAGGGCAGCCACCTGAAATGGCTTCATGCAAAAGGAGAGAGGAACGGCTCACAACAGTGTAGTTTGTCCATTTTTGTGGAAATTTACAGCCACTAGTCTCTGTGAGCTGTTCAACGTTCTTTCTGACAGAAGACAAGGTATCTCAAGCTTTATGAATTTTTTTCTTTCCAATAAATGTATCAGTTTCCTTTCGATGGCAAGCAGGCAAGTGCGCCCTGTTTTTGTTCCTCTAAACAGGCCTCTCCTATCTTACCTCCCTGATAAATGAGCCGGAACATTCAAAACTGGGGGAAGGGTTCCACTCGGACAGGCTGGCCTTGCTCACTCACTGCTCCTGCAGCTCCGTCGTTTTGTGCTGTCCCCTCACTTTGCTTCATCCACCCCAGTACTTACCTTCGAAATGCGGAGTCAGTTCCGTTGCTCCACAGCTTTGCATTTGCTGCCGCACTGGTTACACCTTTCGGCCCTAGCTTTCAAGTTGCTGCTAGCTTCCTCTCTCGGGGTCCATGTTTAGCTCCTTGAGGACAGGACCGTAGACTTCTGCTACGCATTTTCCATAGAGTTAGAGGGATCACGTATTTCAGTAAATAATTGCAAGGCATATTTGAAGACATCCACCACAGTTATTCACTTGGTGAGATAATGAAAAGTCGAATAGTAGCCAAAGGTAAATCATTAATTCCCTCATTCATCACACCTGTGCCAAAGCCTCAGGGGCTGGGGAACCTGGGATTGCAGCGTGCCTGGAGAGGACAGGTGGGCCTCAGCTCCATATTGGGGAGAACTGTGAAGTAAATAAAGATCCATTTCAGGATCTCAGACAAAATTAACCGAGTGTGTGTGTGTGTTGTGTTTTACTAAGTGTGTCAGTAACGTCATCTAGTGCCTCAGAGAACAACAGAAAACCTTTTAAAACCCAAATCACAAGATGCTACTCGCCTCATGAATTCTGCAAGATTTCCTCGCAAATAACTGCAGTTAGGATGTTTTAGTTTTCAGGTAAGAAATCGCTCTCAGGATACAACCTAGCCTAGCTGTAGCGTGTATAGGAAAAAAAAAAAAAGTGGTTTTATTAATTATGCCCTTTTCCTGAAAGTTTTTAAACGCTGGGATTGCCAATTTCCCAAATTTTAATTGCTTTTTAGGAAAACACGAGTATTTTGAGTACAACTGAGGCTGTGCGGCCGCAGCACATCTCTGGAGTCTCTTTTCGGCGGTGGGAACCTCGCGGAGCAGTCCCCGCTGCCCGCACGGTTTCTGAGTTGCCGTGGAGCTGGGGGAGCTGGCACAGCGCGCTCCGCTTGCTTTCTCCTGGCCTCTCCAAGCCCGGGTCGCCGGGGAGAATCTGGAAGCAAGGCTGCGAGCGGGGGAGGGGTTATTTAGATGGCTAGTGCAGGGGCCGGCGGCTAGGCGTCTGTCCCTCTGCCCCGCGCGCCCCGGAGAGGAGAGTCGCGTTTCTGAAGTTGGGGAGCCTGCAAGACTTTACGCTCACGTGGGCCCCAAGCAGGAGCGCAGGCGGCAGAACTCCGCCGCGGCGCCATCAACCTGAGCGCATGGCTAGGTCGAGGGAAGAGCGCGGAGCCCAGGCCCCAGGCACCGGTTGTCCTGGAAACCGGGGCGCTGGTCTCCCCAGCGACTGGGTCCCTGGGGAGGGGGGTCGGGGCGGGGCGCCAGGCAGACCAATGAGACGGAGCGGGGCGCGGGGCCCGGGACGCACGGTCCTACCCGCGCGCGCGGGCGGTGTTGAGTGACGGGGAGGGGGCGGGGCCTGCGCGTCGGGCCGAGGAGGAGCTGCGCCGCGCGAGGAACTCGGCCCGCGGCTCCGCGGCTAGGGTGACACACCATGGTCACGGAGCCCGGACGTCTCCGCGCTGCCGCCGACCTGCGCTCCCCGGCTCCTCCGTCCGCCTCAGCCGCCCGGGCAGCGCCGCGCGGGGGCGGCCGTCGTTGAGGCGCAGCGAAGTCGTCGCGGGCCGGCAGGGGGCTCGGCGGGGGCTCGGCGGGGGTCGCCTCCCGGCGATGCTGCTTCGCCCGCTGCAGACCCTTTCCGCGCACGCCCGAAGCAGCTCGGGGAAGGAGAGGCGGTGGCTCTCGGCGCCCGCGCGCTGCGCTCCGGTGGCTGCACCGGGGCTCCCCACGCGCCGGTAAGATGCACGCGTTGCCCGGCAGGGTCGGTGGGACGTGCGGGCCTGCGGGACGTCCCCTCGGATCCCTCCGGGTCCCCTGGATCCCCTCGGTTCGGGTGGCGGGGTGCCTGCTGCGCCATGGCTGGGGAGCACGATCTGCAGTCTCCCCCGGGCCGAGACCCCCCGAGTGGGAGCGACGGGCTGTGTGGGTCCCAGCGAGTGACACTGTCCTGTGGAGCTGGCGCGGCCGGCCCTGCCCGGAGCGCGCGGAGGGAAGGGCTCCCGGAGTCTGTTTCTAATTTCTGTAAATGATTGTGGAGATGGTGCGGTTAGAGGCCGCCCAGAAGAATGTGTCTGTGTTAGGGTTCGGAGAAGGGGGTGGGGACAAGGGGGACAGGGAGCCACTGCCTGATCATGCTTTTTTTTATTAGTTTGCTTCTCTTTGCTCCAGGTCAGGCTTCCTTTCTCCGCTTTGCTTGTTCACGTGAGAGCGGAGGGCTGCGAAGTTAAAAGTTAAGCCAAAGTCGAGGAACTTTGGAAATTTGATTTCCCTCTGTTGTGTGTTACAGAAGGGAGGAGGATGGGGAGACGCAGGAGCTAGTGCAGGCTTCTTTGGCCTTACCTGTCTGAGGTCGACACTTCCCCGTATTTGCGACTAATCTTTTCGACAACCTTCTGTCATTTTCGCTTAATTGCAACTTTGAAATAATAAACGCGGTGACCTCATAGGTAGCTGCCTGGAGCTGAGTTTACCTCCGAAAATGGGGCGATCGGGTTTGTTTTCAAGGCGGGTCCTGCGCAGAATGTGGGACATCTGATCTGTGGGTTGAAGGACGCTGCTAACTAATTAGGAAGATTTAAAAAGGTCTATCTATCTAGAGAGTTTGTTAAAGGATGGGAAGGGTTGGGAAAAAGTACCTGTATTATGAAACAGGCTGTGGTATTTTCCCAAATTCTTGAACTGGGTTGGCAGGGTCGGGGTGAAAACCTCCTTCATTCTCATTGGCCGCCAGGAGTGGTGATGAGGCACAAATTATTTTTTTCACTTGAAGCAAAAAAATTTTTTAACTAAGTTCATAAAGATAATGACTCAATAAGTTCATACAGATAAGTACCATGTCATCCAGCCCTACTTGTGCAGTGTTTTTATGACATTATGTTCCGAATTCGGTGTTCTTCGGGTTTCCTGGGAGTACCTGTGGGGAGAAGATGCTATTAGAATTTAAGAGTAGAAACTATTAAGGATTAGTTAAAAGAAAGAATAGGTTTTATAGTCTTTTACTTTCAACATCAGAGAACTGTGACCTTCTTTACCATTGCATAGATTTGTCTTTGAATTTACATTATCCCACAAACATTTTCCTACTATCCAAGCCCCCTCCCCACTGAGGATGATTATCAGTATCCAGAAACATACAAGAGTTTTCATGCTGCAAACACACACACACACACACACACACTAAAACCAGTGTCAGTTTAAAGGGCAGATTTGAATGCTACAAGAGGGTGTCAAAAGTTGTAAAACTTGTTTTATCTTCTTTCTGTTTGTTTTTAAAGATGCCTCTTAAATGCAGGATTTCAAAAGAGAACTGGCTAGCCATTTGTTTTGGGGTAGATAATAGGTGTTCACTGGAGGAGGAGAGAAAGGTGGGGGTGGAACCCTGGGCCTTTCGAGGGCTAGGTGGGTGCTCTGCTGAGTGCATACCACCCTTAGGCCTTTATCTTACAAAGCTTATCTTTTATGCGGGAGAAATGAGTCTGGCTGTGTTTCACCTTTAACAGATCAAATAAAGATTGGGTAGGTGAGCATTGTCCCAAATCTATTGTACAAAAAGGGTATCTGGGAAAACTGGAACAACTTTTTTTTTTCTTTTCTTTATGCCATTAAAAAAAAATAAAACGTGATTCACTTTTATAGTGCAATCAAGTTGCAATTAGTGATATTTAAGATTGAAATGAAGCACAATTGTAATGTAAGCTGGTACATTTGTCAGCTCTTGGGATGTGTGTCTGTGCCTCTGGTTAGAATAGAGTTGAAAGTATTGCTCTCAGGCCTCGGATGTAACCCTGTTCCTCTCTTGAGCTCCTGTCACTTTAAATGGTAGGAGCCTGGGAGAGGAGGGAAGATACTGCAGTTAGGATTGACAGGTTCTCTGAAATGGGAAAGTGGAGACGTTTGCAACTCTGGATTCTCCTATCCCAGCACCCCTCCTCCTCTTTTGCAAGTTTTTCTCCACTTAAAAATTAAAGTGGGTCTAGCACATATGAACTGCATATTTTTTAAAGATAGTTTTTCCATCAGTAAATTGGCTTTTAATGAGTATGACTTCTAATGAATTAAGTTAAAGTTAAAAACTTTGTATGTCATATCAGTGAACTAGTGAATAGGGTACACAGAGAGGGGGACCTTATAATAGTGAGTCTAGGGAAAAGTGAAAACGTTTTTCAAAAGATCCTTCTATTATGTTTTGTTTTGTTTGACACAGGGTCTCTGCAGAGCCCTGGCTGTTCAGGAACTCACTGTGTACACTGGGCAGGCCTGGAGTTGACAGAGCTTTGCTTATGCCTGCCTCTGCCTCCTGGGTGCTGGGATTAAAGGCATGCATCATCACGCCCTGCTCTGGATCCTTCTCTTCTCAGTGTGAGCAGATCCCCTCTTCTCTCCATCCACATTCCCAAATGTGTGGCCATCATTAATAGCTTGTGAAGCAGTAGGAAGCCAGTTGTTTAATTTCTTACAAAACCCAACAAAACAGTAACTCCTAAGAGAACTCATGTGATGGCCCTCAAACTTTGTGTTTCCCCTTAGTTTGCTGTGACACATAGGAACATGAGCAACAGGGGCTGGTCTCTTACTTGCTTACATGCTTGACCAAAGAACTTGCCTTTCTGTTGTTTTGTTTTCACAATGGAAAAGTATGAAAATGTTTTCAAGCCAACTGCCTGGGCAGAACCTGTGCTGAAGAGTTCATAGGGCCTGTCTGGGAGAGGCTTACATCTGTCAGCTGTGAGTAGTTTCAGTGTCTACCTCGATGCAGTGTGAAGACGAAATTAAGTACGTGTAGATATGATTAAGTGCAAGTTGACACAGTCTTGTTTAGCCTGTTTGTCTCCTTGTAACCTTTTACAGAATGAAATCGAGTTTGTTTGTTTGTTTGTTTGTTTTGTTTTGTGTGTGTGTGTGTTGTTTTGTTGTTTTGTTTTTTTTTTCCTCTGTATAACCTTGGCTGTCCTGGACCAGGCTGGCCTTAAACTCAAGCAATCTGCCTGCCTCTGCCTCTCTCTGTGCTGGGATTAAAGGTGTGTGCCACCATGCCTGGCCTCAAAATAGCATTCTTTAGAAGCTTGTGACTGTTTCCTCAGGTCATTTCTGAATGTCTAGCCCAGTGGTTCTCAACCTTCCCAATGCTGTGACTCTTTAATAGAGTTCCTCATGTTGTAGGGACTCCAAACCTTAGAATTATTTCGTTGCTACTTCATAACTATAATTTTGCTACTGTTCTGAATTGTAATGTAAGTATATGATACTCAGGATATATTTGACTCCCAAAAGGGTCGAGACCCACAGGGTGAGACTGTCACTCATTTAGCATCTGAGCATTATTATTATTATTATTATTATTTTACTAGAATCTGGGATGTCAAAAGGCCTACAAAGAAATGTCTTCTTCATTTAGCACCTATGCTTCATTTTTAATATTCTTTCTAGATTAATGGTACCCAGCTACTCTGTACCTTAGAGTCAGTTTAATACATTTTAACATTTTATATGCTCAGACACCTGCCCATATTAAATAAAACAGTCCTTAGGGTAAAATCCAGGCATCCTGATTATACTATAGCCATACCAATGCTCTGGCCTCATCTACACAATGTAGAAAATTCAATTCTCACAAAGGCAGCAAGCATCATCTGAATGCTAGGCTTCTGTGTGTATATGTGTGTTCAAGGGAGTATCTGCATTTGCATGTGTCTTCCCTGAGTCATTTTCTTCAGGTGTACAATTTAAACTATGTGCAGACCTATTTACTGTCTTTTCCTGTGTTGGGGTTAAACTTGGAGCCTTGCTTAGGTTAGGCAAGCACTGAGTACAATCCTTGAAGTTGCTGTTTCTAAGATTTGTTTTATTTTGTGTGTATTAGTGTTTTGTCTACGTGTGTGTGTACGCTATGTTTGTGTCTGGTCTATGGAGTCTGGAAGGAGGCATTGGATACCTTGGAACTGGAATCCCAGAGGCCTGTGAGCCTCCACGTGGGTTCTGGGAACTGAACCTACATCTTCTGTCAGAGCAGCAAGCGCCAAAACCACTGAGCCATCTGTCTAGCTCTCCAAAACCATTCTTTCAAGAAAAGATAAATGCCATAACTTTTTTTTTGGGGGGGGGAGGGCGCTGCGGGGTGAGGTTTTGTTGTCTTATTAACATTCTCTTCTTTGACAAATCTATTCAAGTATGCAATGCACTCCAGTTTCAGTTCTCTCATCTCTCTTACTGCCCTCCCACTCCTGCCAATTCCTTTTCCTTTTGAACATCTTTCCCACATGCGTGACTTTTTGCTCTGTATCTCACAGAGTTTAGCCAGCTCTGTCTGTGATCACAGGTTCTGAACTCTCCTTTGGCAACTGTGTGTGCTCTCCCTTCTCTTCACAGGTTGTGTGATGGGTTCTTGGTCTTCAGCTTGACTATGTGTGGAGTTAGCTAAAACACAAATGGCTGTGCACACTTGTGAGGGATTTTTCTTTTTAATTAAATCATCTTAAGTGGGAAGACTCACTTCTGCTACAGGTCTTTGAGGTGGCAATATACTGTTAGTCTGAGTCACACCTTCTGCTGACAGCCTGTATAAAGGACACAGAAAGGGAAAAGGAAGTTTTTGCTCTTCGCCTGCTTGTTCTTGCAGTCACTGGCAAGTCCATTCCTTCATTAGCATCAGAACCTACTGTTTTGGACTCTGGCATATACTGAAGACTAGCTGAAAGACCCACAGTCGCAAACTGAAGAACTACTGGATTCTTAGACC